CACATCTCGGAACATCACCACCACCACCACCACCACCACCACCACCACCACCACCACCACCACCACCACCACCAGCACCACCAGCACCACCACCACCACCACCACCACCACCACCACGACTGACGATGAAGTGCTTTTCCCACTACCACTGCCGCTGCCACACCATGCGACGACCACGACGACGCAGCCGGCGGCGGCTACGATGACGACGACGACTACGACGACGACAACGACGACTACTACCACCACCACGACGACGACTACTACTACTGCCATACTACTACTGCCACTACTACTACTACTACTACTACTACTACTACTAGTACTACTTCTTCTACTACTACTACTACTACTAGTACTACTTCTTCTACTACTACTTACTACTTCTACTTCTACTACTACTACTACTACTACTACTACTACTACTACTAGGCCTTCAACGAAAACACGGGCCCAAGATTCCTTAGACAGCAAAAGCTTTCCAACAAACTCTACAGCCACTCTACTGTACCTTGCCACCACTTGGCCTTTACCCTTCCGGGTGCCAGCTTTGGGAAGCCTGCGTTATCTGAAGGAGTGGGAGCGAGGGGTGAAGGAGGTGCGCGAGATTACCGAGGCACTGGAAGAGCAAACAGTCAAAGCTCAAGGGTGTAGAGATGAGGATTTTGCTGCAGCCGCCAGTCTTTAGTTGGAGGCGGTTGGGCAAGGGGTTTCGGATTTTTTCAGTGCAGGGAGTCTCTCTGAGGGTCAAGTCATCGCAGAAACGTCGCCTGCCGGCGCAGGGCACCCTTAGTTTCCCAGCCCCTTTCCAGTCCTCCAACCGTCGGGCACGCTTCGTTCTTACTCGACCGGGCACCGGGGCCGAACTACAGGTCACAGAGCAAAAGGCAGTGGGGCCCTCAACAAAGGAAATGCAGCCCTCTGCATTTCTCATTTGGTTGTTCTTGGAAGACTTGCCAGCACCCTAGAGCCCAGGCCCGGAGGAGGCCGAGCCAGAAAAGGAATGACCCCGACACGTTGGTTAACCGTAAACCCTCACAGACGTTTGTTGTACGTGGTTGGGCTGTAGACCGGGGAAAGTGTGGCATGAGGACGATGGCAGTTTTTCTCTGCAGAGGCTGTCAACAGGGAGCACATCCCGGGTGCAGGTGCAGGAGAACCCTACGTCTCGAGTCCCAGAATTTGCAACCATACCCTCGCGTGATGCGAATTAAACTTGAATACACAAACCGCATTGCCTCGATTATAGCAGACCGTCGAACATACAGCAAGCAGCCTCACATGCTCGCAGCCTGATTCGTCCCATGGGGAGGAAGGAACACAACTACCTGCGAAGCCCTGAGTGGAAGGTGGTCGGCCGCCTGCAGCGAGAGAGCCGGAACACCTCTTCCTGCGGCTTCCAGGCGCTGACTCCATGCATAGAATCAACTTGAAAGTGAACCACCAATCCATGCGTCGATTCTGTTGGCCCGCTTGAAGCAGCGACGTTTGCAAAAGGACATGTGCTTTTGCACAACCTGGTCCTGCAAAATGTCGGGCACTTGGATCCTGTTTACCATCCGCACTGTGCGGGCTGTCCCACCAGGGATTCTTCCCGAACTTCCCCTCCCGCTTGTGGAACACTGAGGTTGGGCACTGGATGGCAGCAGGCCCATGTAGACAGTTGGTGTAGCAAGCTGCACCAGCTGTATGATGGTGTCAGGAAGTTCAGGGCGTCTCAAGCTCCTTGAGTTTCGGCTTTCTGCCAAATCCAAAGAAGCATTTTCAGTTTGAGTTCTCTGGGAATTGTCCAAGTTGCAGGAGAGAGGAGACAGGGACAGGGTAGGTCAATTGGGCTACGCCCTAGCGCGAATCAGAGTCATACTTAAAGCAGCGAGTTGGAATAGCAACCGTACTAGCAGTCAAATGAAGACATACCTACTGCTTCGAAACGTACCGCTTCATGATAGCAACAATGTTAACAGGAGCAGTAGGAGCACTCCTGTCTGAAGTAAGGGCGTGGGTTCGCATCCAACGTCGAAGTGATAGCAAGCAGAGCCTGAACATCAACAGCCACAGCTCAGGCCGGTAATGCTGGTAACGGGACCAGAATGCTGGAATTTAGCTGACCCCGATGTTCGTCACCGAGATCGCACGCACAGCAGCCAAGAACAAGCAATAAACCAACTTATCGTGTCAACGACGGTAAGAACTCTAGGTGTCACAGCTTCTTGTCATCGTCATCGTCATTATCATCATCATCATCATCATCATCATCATCATCATCATCGTCAGCATCATTCTCGTCAACACCAGACCTTTTGCAAGCCAGCTTGCCAAGCCACGCAGCTTGCTAGGCCACCGAAGCCATGCAAGCCAAGCTAAGAAGATTCAACCCACCAAAAGACCTGCCTCATTCTTCATGAGACTATATGGGAAATGCCGAGTCCGCATTCTACTGTTTTTGGTCAGGTGGACCCGCTGTCAATTCCCACGATCAGCTACTTGGATTTGAAACCTTATGGCAGATGAAAGCAAGCACGAGAGCAGTCAGTATGACCGACAGAAGCTTAGCTACATCTACGAGGCAGGTATACCCCATACGAAGTTTTAGTTCGGGGTTGTAGTCCTGTCATGCGTATATGGTTGTACATATGTATGTACGTAGATATGTATGTATGTATGTTTGTATGTATGTATGTATGTATGTATGTGTATAGATGTATATGTACATACATATAATACATGCTATACATAGAATGGGTGCATGCATTGTTCTGCGTTTGCTGCTCTGTGCATTTTGTCTCTTGTCGGTCGTAGCCTTTTTCCTTTTTACAACAGCGTGGATTTCGCCTAAGACTATAAGAGCGAGTGCCGGATTCTTGAACAACACCGGCACCTTCGTCTACTTTGAAGCCGATATGCCAACCATGTCTTGGGCAAGGGGTTGTTATATCTGGCATCAAGCCCAGTTGCCTGCAACCTGCGGCCTCCAGGTGACCTCAACTTTACCACCAGACGCCTGCAGTCCGGGCTGGCCAAGACTCAAGCTCGAGGCTGGATCGGCTCGAGCTTGGGATTCGAAGCTCATGTGTTTGGGACCCAACGAGGCCGCAGTGATATTCGTAGCAGGATCTGGGTTTGCAAAGTGGAAAAGTGGCTCGAACGGACAGTTTCGGACAGGTCCCCTGCACCCTTTGGCACCTATTTTAAGCCAAGACATCGATGGTTTCACAGCAACGTAGGCTACATCCTACATCGACCCCTAACCCCAAAGCACGACCTGCACAGAATTGTTCTACGGCCGCCCTTTGAGGGAAGATCCAGCAACTGACCGACCTGAAGTCAAGTTGGTGTCTCTTCCAGGTCGGTTCGGCCCACAAGCGGCCGCGAAATCAGAGGCTGCCGAGGCATCCTGCGTTTTGAACCAAATAAACGCCTGCAAGATCCCGCAAATATCTAGTAGAACGGAGTGTGCAAATTATTTTCAGGCCTCCCTATACAATCCACACCCACTCATGACCGCGACGGTGGAAGAAAACGATTGTTTTCCTTCCTCGTTCTCTTGTTACAACTTCCGCTCGATCTCGACCTCCTGTTGCACTGACTGTGCATTGTTGCGACTCGTATTCCAGTATTGCGATTCGAAATTTCTACCCGCTTCCTGTTCCTCTGCCCTAAGCCTTTGCCTGCTCCCACTGCTGCTGCCGCCGCTGTCACTCCTGCGGCTGTTGCTGCTGCTATTACGGTTGATGATATAAATCCTGCATTATCCATAACCAGGAATATACCATAATTCCCATAGTTCAGGGTCCTTAAGGTAATGCAAGATTTATATCATCAGCAGTAGTACCAGTACTACTACCTCTGTTGCTGCTACGACTGCCACTACTACTACTCCTCATCCTCCTACTACTACTACTACTACTACTACTACTCCTGCTCCTGCTCCTGCTCCTGCTCCTGCTCCTACTCCTGCTACCACTACGACTACTACTACTACTACTACTACTACTACTACTACGACTACTACTGTACTACTACTACTACTACCACCACTACTACTACCACTACTACTACTACTACTACTACTACTACTACTACTAGCC